GTATTTCCAGAAAGCCACAGAATTTCACCTTTATTATAGCTCCATGAACTGTCTCAGACTTCAAACACTTATCACCGGAACAGAGCATACATTTTCTCTAGGTCAGCCAGGTAAAAACAGGTAACCAGCAATCTCTCTCTCCTTTATATAAAACGTACTGATTGCAAAGTATGCTCATATATGCTCATAAAAATGAAATCAAAGCTTCACTTTACTTAAAAAAAAAAAACCAACAACAACCACCTGAATCTCCTCCCTCCTTGCTAGGGGAAGGAGAAGCAAGCCTGGCCCAAAATGAGCATTTCCATCTTTCTAGTTTGGAGTTCCTCAAGGGCTGTCTTTCGGATGCCTGGCTGCACCACCCGGGGCAGCACCCAGCAGCTCCAGCACCTGCTTTTCTGCTGGGGAAGGGGCTGAGACACCCAGCAGGTGTAAAACCCACGAGAGTGCCACCGGGCGCGCGAGCATAGCCACGCCAGCAGAGCCCTCCTGTGGAGATGTGGCAAATCCCAGCAGACACGCGCTTGGACAGAGGGGTTGCCAGCACAGCTGCAGCGCTGAGGAAGTTTGGTAAGCTGGTTTTCAACCAACAAAACTCTGTAGTCTCCAAGTGTGAACCTGGGACTCGGGAAAGATGGCCCGCCTTCCCCTGAGAGCCCCTCCGGGCGCTGGGTGAAGTTGGGAGAAGCTGGGAATCGGTCCCCCTCCAGAACCCACGCTGGGGCAAAGCTTGCCCCAGTTCAGAAGAGGTCTCCAAGGAAACCCCGCGGAGCACAGCAAGCACTGTCTCTGGCTGCCCGCCGCACAGCTGATCTAGAGATGAGAAAGGTGCCGGCCGGAGCGTACAGCAGCTGTCGGGCAAAGAAGTGACGATGGAAAGTCACTCAGCACATCGGCCCGAGCGGGCCCTCCCTGCTGGGAGAAGCTGGCGGTGCAGCAGCGAGCCCCAGCACCCTGCCGCAGGCAAAGCGCGTTTAATTCAGTGCTATGCTAAACCTGACACAGCAACGGGACAGCAGGGACTGGTCTCTCCCCAGAGCCTCTCTCAGGCATCAGCACCTCCATTAGCTGTAACGCATAAGCCTAAGTTCACAGCATGTAACCTGCTCAGGACGACTTCTACAATACCTCAGTAGTCTTTCTTGGCTAATCAAGGTGTCCAGCTAGGAGCTGGTTTCTTCGTTTTCAAGCTTTGGTTTCACGACACTGCTGTCGTTTCCAAATTCAAAATATTCAGTAGTTTCAGTAGCAGGGGTGTTATGGCTGAAACAATGTAAGGTTCAGAGAGGCAAGGTCGGTAGGAGGAAGTTATACATTTCAATTAGACCAACTGATACAGTTGAAACACATTTAGGCACACAGCATGCCTTTATCACAACTATTACAGCTATATACAGTGTTTCTCATTCGAATTTTTCTTTGAAAGTTTGTCTCATCTCTTGCCTCAGTTAAGCCACGCACTGAGCACGTCCCTGAGGACAGACAGGGCAGGAGGCAGGAAGCAGGACGCAGAGGCTAACGAGCCGTTACCAGAATACCTTGATTCTTTGCATCATACTGCAGGCTGATACGTCAGGAATTAAAAACCAAGCCTGTTCAGTCTATTCTGCCTATTCAGCTGCAAACGGCACGAAGTAGTAAAATTAACTTGCTTAACATGCCAGCTCTTCTGTTTTCCTCTCGGCGAAAGGAACGCCTGCCGCGCAGGGACAGCCACCAAGCTCAGTCACTAGGTGTTTGCAGAGCATTGCGTCGAAATTCCATAATTATTACATTATCAAAGGATCCGGCATATTTGACCAGCATTTTTCTTTCTTTTCCTCATCATTAGGTCACTGATATTTTCCGATTGTACTTTAATGACTCACAATTCACAGCGTATCATTTTCCTTCTAAGTGTAATCATGTCTTAAGCCCAATCATGTTGGCCATAAAGCAAGGCTTGCATTACTTATAGACTGCTTTGTTTTGGTTGACCAGAACTAAGATACTTATTTACAAGAAGTAAAACTAAATAGTATAACAAACTCCTTTTTTTTAAACTTATAAAAGCATGCTCTGTTTCAAGTTTAGATCTTAATGCTGCCATCAGTTGCTATTATATTATATGAATGGGTGAAGCTTACTTCATTTCAATAACACAGCAGAAATGCATATCCCCAGTGAAAAAGAAGAGGCAGACAAGTATATCATGACAATAGCAAGGCATCAGGTTTCTTGAACCAGACCAACATTTGAGAACGTGCTAGCAACTTTGAACCAGCTTACTAGGAATCTAGCTTAACTTAGGCGATAAACGAGTTAAGGGAAAGTCTCAAAGAATCAAGGAGCATCTCTGTCAGCATTCAAAATCAAATTTGAGCTAAAAAAGGAGAGAGAGAGAGAGAACTGTGTGTCAAAGTTTGAGGAACAGTTTAATTAAACCTATCTTTTCACTTCCTTTTATATCTTTGCTAATTGCCAGAACTGTTTGGTCTTTATTTACACATGGTAGAAAGAAGAACTGTTTCTATAGCAAATTAGAAGAATTCAATGTGTGCAAATGGACAGAGAGATGAGTGTACAAACACACATCTCCCTCAGGTAGTGGTAATTTCACTAAAGGAAGCAGCTGAGCTTGTTCATCTAATTGGTAATGAGATACTGCACTGACAGCGCCTGGGTAAAAAGGGCATTACCAAAAATAAAACCTTTACAGATTTTTAAATTAATTCATCTTCTACAAACATGAATCTACTGTTCTGACAAAATAGACTGTAAGCAAATACTAATTCTGTTGTATGCACACTAGTGCCATGTATTTCAGGAGGAAAAAATCCAGTCACATGTAAGTTACTGTGGGGAAATTTCCAACCCCCTTTCTTCCCCCCCCCCAAGATGCATCATGAAATATGCCTTCTCCTCTGTGGGAGAAGCATCCTTCCTGGGTTTATTGACAATTGTGCTTTAAAAACAAACAAAAAAAACCCCAATAACAAAAAGCAAACACATAACCCCCCTCCCACTTTTCTCATACTTTTAGTGCCATGAAAAGCTCTGATAACCAAGTGTTTTGCACTGCAATTTGAGAAGAGTAATTCTTCAAGGCACTTGCTGAAGATGTGAACAAAGACCATAGCTACCACTCTAAAAATTAACTGTGGTGCTCCAAATAGCAACAAATTCTGGGACTGTAAAAAGTTTCTGACAAACACTTAACATATGTGGTAAGCATCACCCGAAACAGTCAAAATATCACAGACGTTATACCCTTTCAAAGGAGAATTATAAGCACAGGATTAAATTCTATCTATCTGTTTGGCCACAAAAAGAGGGTGGGAGGGAAGAGAGGTCCAGTCCTCAGAGCTAAAAACCGCACAC